AAGCATAATAACAAGTTGACAGTATAATAGTTAAATAATGACACAAAAGATTAATTTGGAGTACAATCAACATTAACCACATACGTATTACTATAGACCCTATAGGGCGCTAAGTTCTGCAAGTAATTATTGCATTACGGTATCCACCCACACTCATGATTTGGACGGCAAGATACCGTGTAGCTACATGGGGAAACAAGGAACAAGAGGCCTTCGTGGCTTCCAGAGCTTGTTTGAGTGGCAATAAATGCCAGTAACAGTGAAGAATAGAGCCCAGAATGTCTCCTGATAAAAAGCTTCATTGCACTTGAAGCCACTTTGGCCTCCTATCCATTGGTTTTGCCTGGTTTTGCTGTCCAGCAGGAGAATTTCGAAATTTTTTCATTAAAGAATGCGGATAGGATACGGAAGATTACGAATAGTGTCTCATATACAGTATCTATAATTGCTTCTAGAAGTTAGCACCCTATAGGGTCTATTGGTTGGACACTAATGCTATAATTGTTATTACTAATAAAACCCAAAGGTAGTCAGGGCCAAAGCAGATTACTATAATGTGTGACCGAATTACTCTATCATGAAATAGCTAATTATATGAGAATTTATAACATGTAGCAACTTTCATTCATGCAATGAAGTTGGTTGGAAATTAGGAGAACAGTGTTAAATAAAATCTAATGAGCACTGGTGGCTCGTACAAAATTTACAACATGGCAGCAAGAACACTGGGTAGGAGCAAAATAAATTTTGCATGCACACACACGCACCAGTGATATCACAAGCATAATATAATCATTATTTCTGTGACAGTGGCAGCCATTATCATTGGGTTCATAAAAGACTCTGTCTTTGGGCTCAAATATACTCAATTTTACGGAGGTTTTTTGTTCCGCTTACCAAAAGAGTATTCTACAGAATAAGTTATACTTGCAGTCATCCCTTGGATCAGCAGCAGCATCCTCCAGACCATCCTCATCCTCAGTTACACGACTGTACCTCAGCCTAGAGGTAGTACTGCGAAACATTTTCTAATGAATACAAACGGTCCCACCAATAAAATTAAAAAGATGATTTTCTGATAAAAATTTTTCTTCAAACAAAAAATTGTTGGCCTTGTTCAAAAATTAAAAACATCAAAATCAAAAAAAATTTAGCAAAAATAAAGTGCTCAATTTAAGGGTAAAACAAAAATAACAACACACTAGATTTGCACACAGTATTATAGCTGGGGTTTATACTCATTGGATTGAGCCTAATTTTCTACTTTGTTTGCTGGGATATCTTTAATTTCATCACCACGATGAAACATTGGATTGTCATGTGCCTGCTCTTCATGGTGTGGCTGCTTCTTTTTACGCTTGTAAATTACAACAATGAGCAGTACAATGACAACACAAGAAGCTATCCCTATTATTACAATAACTAAAAACAAAAAGATATCATGTCACTTAAGTATAACAATAATTATACTTATAATAAATCCAGAACTAATTGCTAAAACCATCAAACTACTGGATGAAGTATTCTCAATCTAACATAGACAATTTTAAAGTATAAAAATGTGGTAAAATGATCTTACTGCTCCAATGTTTGTTGGTGATGTAGCTATAGTTACTAGACCTAAAATCATTATATAATATAATAAAAGCACTTGAAGTTTTAGTTACCTTTACAAATTGTTCTACTTTTAAGGACTTCTTCAAGATTACAAACTGCATGATACACGTTGTACAATTGATTAATTCTAATTATACATGTAAAAATAATATCTCACCCAGACATGTATGACTGTCATTGCTCAAGTAATATCCATCTTTACAGGTACAATGGTAACTTCCTGGAGTATTGACACAATCATGACTGCATCTATTGTCCACTAATGCACATTCATTGATATCTACATGTATGCAATTGGAAAAATTATGTATTACTTAATCAGTCATACTTTTACCTGAACAAAAAGCATCATTGGTTAAAGTAAAGCCTATCAAGCATGAACACTGGAAACTACCAAGGGTATTGTTGCAAATCTGTTCACAGCCTCCATTTTTATCAGCACACTCATCAATATCTGGATTAATTAGTGAATACACAAGACAATGTAAATTTTAAAATTACCAGCGCAGCTTCTTCCATTCCTTGTAAACTGAAATCCTTCTCTACACTGACACTGATAGCTTCCTATTGTATTGATACAGTCCTGTTCACATCCACCATTATTAGTATCACACTCATTGATATCTATTTCATGAGGAAATTATTCAGTTCAGAATAGTTGATAATTACCAGAGCAGTTGTGACCATCAGTATCAATACTGT